AACCTGGCAAAATCTCTTCTACATGTGAATGCGTCTTTTGCGGGACTACATTACATGAAAGTGGGGTAGAAGAGCAAAAGGATGGAGTAGAGTGAGTGATGCACTGGGGACTGGGGTCAAATCAAGGGCAAGCAATGAGCAGGTGACCTCTATGATCTCAGAAAGATAAGAACCTTCAAGGGAGTGAGCGAGGCGGGGTGGAGGGGTGAGGAGATTGAAAAGGAGAAGAAAGGGAGAAGGCCCTATTTTAGAGGTGGGAGAGGGTTCTACTGATGAATGCTCCTAGGGGTGAAGGGAGTTGAGGCCCAGGGGATTTGGAGCAAGGAGGGGAGGGAGTTGGAACCCCTGGAGGCAAATGGCACCTGAAAGAGTGGGAAAGCAGACACCAGGGAGCAAATTTCTAGGCAACTGTAGAATAAAAAGAAAAAAAGGTCAACAAGAGAGAGTATATACCAGTGAGGGGCTGGGGAAGAGATTGCCTTACCATGGGGCACTGCCTCTCTGACACCTGCAATAAATGACATTGTTCTGAGAGTGAGGCACAATGAAAAAGGGGAATTCATGGGGTAAGCCCTACAAGACAGAGGCAGAAAGCACCTAGAGGACAAAGTCTAGAGTGGATGCTTTGGAAGCTTTGATTATATGAAGAATACAGAGGGAGAGAGGGAGAGAGAGGGAGAGAGAGGGAGAGAGAGAGAGAGAGAGAGAGAGAGAGAGAGAGAGAGAGAGAGAGAGAGAGATCAAGTATAGGAGTCATGAATCAGAGAATGAGGGTCTAGAGTAAACAGAAAGAGAAGATAGATAGTGAGAGTGAAAAAAATCATTTTTCAAACGGGGTGCAAAAATGAAATAAAAAAAAACTAATGACCAAACTAGCTGAAGAAGAAAAGAGGAAAGAGGAATTCACCTGACTGAGAGGAAAAAGATGGGGAAGAAATAAATAATCAAATAAAAATCAGGAGATGAGGAATTAAAAACAAAACACTAAAAGGAAACAGGTAACAAATAAGAAGAGGGGGATCAGGGGTGAGGCAAATAGAGCTAGTGGGAATAGGGATATCTTAAAAAAATATTCAAGTAAAACAACTTAAGTAACATAATATTGTGCGTATATCAGAAGAGGGGAAAAATCATAATAACTCTCCCCCAATTTTAGAGACAGATGGAGAAAAATATAAACCTTTTATAACTTTAAATGTGAATGGAGTGAATAATCCAATGAAACAAAAAAGGGCAACAGATTGGATAAGTAAACAAAAATCTACAATCTGTTGCATACAAGAAACACATTTAAATATCAAAGACATACACAAAATAATACTGAGGGAATGGGGAAAAAAATTTATTATGCATCAAGTATATCCAAAAAAAAGCAGGAGTTATCATGCTATCAGACAAAACGAAAACAAACATTCAAAAACTAAAGGGGGATAAACAAGGAAATTATATTAGGCTGAAAGGGACCATAGACAACAAATGAATATCAGTAATAAACTTATTTACTCCAAATGTTTTAGTATCCAAATTTGAAAAAGAAATATTACTTGAGCTCAAAAACACAAAGACAGTAACACAATTTTAACAGGAGACTACAATATCCCTTTATCAGTTTGGGATAAGTCTAAAAGAAAGATAAACAAAAGGGAAAATATAGAACTGAACAAATTTCTGGAGAAAGTAGAGTTAAAAGACTTATGGCATTTTCTAAATGGGACAGCATAGGATATGCATATTTCTCTGCACTACATGGAACTTTTACAAAAGCTGACCAGGTTCAAGGGCACAAAGATATGCAAACAAATGTAAGAAGGAAGATATATTAATTATATCCCTTACAAATAATGCAGTAAGAATAGAAATTGGTTCAGGGATCATAAACAAAAGATATAGACCCAAATGGAGACTTAATAGTGAAATCTTAAATAATGATGAGTAGGTCCAAGGAACAAATCATAGAAACAATTAACAAATGTATAAAAGAAAGTGATATTGATGAAACAAAATACTAAAATTTCTGAGATGTAGCTAAAGCAATTCTTGGGAAAATTCATACATTAACAAAATAGAAAAAGAAAAGATTTCAAATAATTAAAGAATCAAAAAAAACCAAGTGAACCTAAAAAAAGCACAAGAGATGATATAATAAAAATTACAGGGAAATGATAAAATGGAAACCAAAGGAAAAAGTATAAATAAAACTAAAAGCTGGCTTTTTGAAAAAAAAAAAAACTAATAAAATTGATAAACCTTTGGCTAATCTGATCAAAAAGCAGAGAGCAGAAAATCAAATCAATAAAATAGCAAATGAGCAAGATGAAATCAGAGCCAAACCAGAAGAAATAAAAGGAATAATCAGAGCATATTATGCACAGTTACATGCTAAAAACAAACAAGCAAACAAACCCGAGAACACAAAAGAAATAGAGGACTACCTTCAAAAGTATAAAGTACTCCAACTATCAGAAGAACAGAGATCTTAAATAATCTAATCTCAAAAAAATAAATAGACCTAACTCTAAAGGAACTATAAAAGTGGGGGTGGGAGAGAAACCCCTGTTCCTGATGGACTCACAGGAGAATTCTATCGATCTTTTGTTTTTTGTTTTTTTTACATTTTAAAATTTTGAGTTCAAAATTCTCTCCCTCCATCCAGCCCTCCCCTACTCGTTGACAAGGTGAGCAACGATACTCATTATACATGCAAAGTAATTCTAAATACATTTCCTTAGCAGCCATGTTGCCCCCCCCCCCAAAAAAAGGCAAGAAAAATAAAGAAAGTTGGGGAAAAAATGCTTCAATCTGCACTCCATTTTTCTCTGTGGAAGTGGATAGCATTTTTCATTATAAATTCCTTAGAATTGTGGATCACTGACTAACTTTGATAGACTTACCCCTTCTCAGCAATGCAAGGATCTAAGACATCTCCAAAAAATCTCACCATGGAAAATGCTATCCACATCTAAAGAAAGAACTGTGGCATTTGATCAAAGCATACTATTTGCTCTTTTTTTTTCTTCTGTTTTGTTTTGTTTCCTTTTTCTTGTGGTTCCTTCTATTGGTTCTAATTCTTCCTTACAACATGACTAATGTGAAAATATGTTTAAAAAAAAAAAGAATTGTGGATCATTATATTGATTGGAGTAGCTAAATCTTTCTCAGTTGATTATCGTTACAATATTGCTGTTGTGTACAATGGTCTTCTGGTTCTGCTCACTCTACTTTGCATTAGTTCATATCAGTCTTCCAGTTTTTCTGAAACTATCCCCTTCATCATTCTTATACCACAACAGTATTCCATCACAATTATATACCACAACTCGTTCAGCAATTTCCCAATTGATGGGCATTGCCTCAATATCCAATTCTCTGTTACTATAAAAAGAGTTGTTATAAATCCTTTTGTATATATAGATCTTTCTCATTTTTCTTTGATCTCTTTGGGATACAGGACCTAGTAGTGGTATTGCTGGGTCAAAAGGTATGCTACAGTTTCATAACTCTTTGGGCCTAGTTCCAGTTAACTACTCCATTAACAATCCATTAATGTACCTATTTTCCCTCATCCTCTCCAACATCTGTCATTTTCCTTTTTTGTCATGTTAGCCAATCTGGATAGGTGTTCTATCAAAATTTTTAAAAAACAGTTTGTACCCATACTTCACAATTTATTTTCAAAAATGAGAAAGAGCCCTACTATGCTGTAAAAAACAGGGGCGGCTAGGTGGCACAAGAGATAGAGCACCGGCCCTGGAGTCAGGAAGAACTGAGTGCAAATCCAGTCTCAGATACTTGACACTTACTAGCTGTGTGACCCTGGGAAAGTCACTTAACCCCATTGTCTAGCAAAAAAAATAAACAATAAAAAAAAATAAACAATACATATGATGATACAGAAATGCATGGGTATATGTGAACTGATGCAGAATGAGATAAGTAGAGCCAAGAACACAATATACACAGTAACTACAACAATGTAAATAGAAAGACACACCAAAAAATAAAAAGTAAATGTAACGAAATTATAAAGATCAAGTGGGACTGAAATGAAGAGATATGAGACACTCCCCAACTTATCCCTCCATGAAGGTGGGAGATCCATAGATGTTACACACTGTAGATGTTTTCGTACTTTCTCAATGTATTGACCTGTTTTGTTGTTTTTTTTTCTCTCCAAAAGAAAAAAATACTATTTGTCGTATGGGATGGCTCTTGGGGAGTGTGGTGGGGAGGGATACATGGGATACTATGGTGATATAAGAAATAGAAAACAGCAATAAAAATATTTTTTAAAAAAAATGTGCCTTAAAAGCTCTGTTACAATACGATGTCTCCCATCATACATTAATATCATCCAAGAAGGATCCAGGAAGAGTAGACAGAGTCCATCTTTATCTCACTTTGGAGATATCTTATATAGACCCTGTGTTTTAAGTACCCCTGTTCAACGACCTAATCTTGCATCAATATACCTAAATCCGACATGTTCCACCAGGTCCCTTTTACCCCAGTTTATCAAAAGTCTTCATTCTCTTTCCATATCCACTCTTCTTTTTACCTTAACCAAACTGAGCTTTCCTTGTACTTCCCTGGCCACCCAAAGGACAAGCAGTGCTATCTGGTCTCTGACATCTCCAATTCCCAGTTCAGAGAGAATAGTATCTGAAGCCTGGCTTTCCTGAACCTCTAGCAAGTCTAGCCTAATCTTCAGGTACGAGAGAACTCTCTTTTCTCTTTCACTAGTGGTTCTCTAACTTCTATCAATTTATCTGGATTTTTACCAGTTTTATCTACTCCTAATTGCTTACTTATCCAATATGAATTAGCATATAGCAACATAGCTACTTAACACAGATACACAAAAAAAGTAACATTTTTGTCCCTCCCCAAAAAGCACACAAGCCGATCTATATAACATGGACTTTTCGCCAAAGCCATGTTAGTTTTTTTACCAAAAATATCCTGGGAGATTTTCCCTTTATTCTTTTGTTTAGTGAACTTACTTAATGTATTCATGAAAAGGCCACTGCCATCCTGAGATCTGTTATGCATGGTCTCCATATCAGGAATCCATTGTTGTGGTTCAGCAGATGAGGTTTGATGGCCTAGTGCACGTTTTACTGAGCTAGAATGAGAGAGTTTGCACCCTTCGTCTTCTGAGTCACTAGAACTATCTTCACTACTTGAAGATGAAGAACTTTGGGATTCTGAAGAGCTATCAGAACTAGTCATCTGGTCCATTATACTGGCTTCTGCCTTCAGTTCTAAAAATAAAATAAGAAATGAATCAACAAATTGAAATTGAGAGCTAATGAAAACTTAAAGGTGGTAGTTATGAAATTATTGATGAAAAATGGGTAAGATTATCCATTAATAGATATGATGTATTATATAAACAAAAGTCACTTTTTAATACTCGTTAGGAAAATCAAAATTACAGACTAGCATTGCACATAGCAATACAGAAATCTATATTCTTCAGAGCATAAATGTGTGCTTATGTTAAAATATCAGCTCATCTTATATAAAACATAACAAATGATCTGAAAAACAGATATAAGGATGTACTTAAAAACTGAGGATATATTATTTTCAGTAAAGCAAGCCAGCTGTATTTTTTATTTTTTAACAATGTTCTTCTAGTTCTGCTCAACTGTGGATCAGTTCATACAAATCTTCCCAGGTTTTTTCTGAAATCATCCCCTTCATCACTTCTTATAGCAACACTATTCCATCACAATCATATACCACAACTTGTTCAGCCACTGCCCAATGGATGGGCATCAACAGGAGATATATTTTACCTTAGTTTCTTTGTTACATGTATATGTGTTAACTCTAAAACTAAAGCTTGAGAACAGTGACTATCTTTCAGTTCTTTTGCTCTTAACAAAGGACCTAGGACACTGTTTAGTAAGTCTAGCAGAGACCAAACATACATAAAACATGAGTGCAGGAAGAGATCCTGGAGAACATCCCTTCATTTTTCATCTACAGGAACTAAACCCTGGAGCAATGAAGCACTTACATAAGGTCAAAAAGCTAGATCATGACAGAGGAAGAACAATTCCAAGTTGAAGGCTCTTTGCACTAGGCCATTCTGCCCCAAGAATATTCCTTAAATACATCCCTAAAAATATGCTAAAATCTCATAAAATTTCCCCCTAGTGAAAAATTCCCACTAGAACTCCCTCTGTTATGTCAGATAGACACTGCATTGGCAATGACAGAACCATAGTATGAATGAAGCAGAAAATAACTCAGCCAAAACTACAGGGAGACAATAAGATTTAACAGGAAACTCTTGATGGGAAAAAAAAATGAAACTAAAAGTAAAGTGACATTAAGGTCAGATAACTTCTTTTTTGGTGTTATAATCCCAGGGGAAATAAGTAAAGAATCACTTAGGTTCTCTTGCTTATCACATCTATAGCTCCCTGTGTATGTGTATTTGGGAAGGCATTAAACTAAAAAAGAATGAGTAGGGAGAGAAACATACCCCAATAAAATTATAAAATCAGATAGGCACAAGACTGAAATAAGAACAATGGTAGGAATGGTACTCTATGATTATTAATTTCTCAGAAAAAGTTAACATGGAAGAAGTTTTGGGACTATTTTTTGGCTTTAGGTGTTTCTTTCCCCACGTACAGCACATAGATATTAAACAAAATCAATAGGATGTTTTAATACAAGTAAATGAATATGGTTTCAGATGACAATAAAATAAGAAGCATAAATAATATCTTTGGAGATATATACAATAGATTTCCAGGTCAAAGAATATAGATAGTGCACAGAAGCAAACTAGCAGTGATTGAGAACTTCAACTACCTAGATGTATATCTCATTTTGTTCAACTTGAAGCACCTAAAAATTCATGAATTGCTAATCACTATTTCTCAGAAGGTTGGTGGAGGGGGGAAATGTGAGAGCATGTTGCATATGGAAGTGACAGAAAACATAAATTCAATTCAATGACCAAATATTTATTAAGGACCTACCACATGCCAGTCAATTCATAATAGCCAAGGAAGGGAAAATTGACTGTAGTTAGACATTTCCTCTAGTTTTTAAAGATTCAAAGACAGGCATGAACCTGTGGCAAAAAAAAAGGAAGACAGCTTAAGAGGGATTGGTGTTAGCAATACCACTACTAGGTCTACATCCCAAAGAGATTTTTTAAAATGTGGGAGGGGAAGGATCTATATGTACAAAAAATATTTATAGCAACTCTATTTGTGATGGGAAAGAATTGGAAATTGAGGGGATGCCCATCAACTGGGGAATGACTGAACAAGATGGGGCATAAGATTGTAATGGAATACTATTGTGCTATAAGAAATAATGATTAGGATGCTTTCAGAAAAACCTGAAAAGACTTTCATGAACTGATGCAAAGTGAAGTGAGCAGAACCAGAAGAACATTGTATACAGTAACAGCAATATCATATGATGATCAACTGTGAATGACTTAGCTATTCTCAGCAATATAATGATCCAAAACAACTCCAAAAAACTCAGATAAAAAATGTTATCTACCTCCAGAGAAAGAACTGATGGAGTCTGAATGCAGATTGCAGCATGATATTTTTCACTTTTTTTTCATTTTTTTTGTCTGTGTTTTCTTTAACAACACAACTAATATGGAAATATGTATTGCATGATTTCATATGTATAACCTAAATCAAATTGCTTACCATCTCAGGAAAGGGGGAGGGGATGGAAGGAAAGAGAATTTGGAACTCAAAATTTTAAAAAATGAATGTTAAAAATTGTTTTTGCATGCAATTGGGAAAAATAAAATGCTATTTTTAAAAAGAGGGATTGGGTGTTACTAAGTAATAAAATTCTGATATTACAATCAGATAATCTTAACAAGGAAGAAAAGAAATCATTGTGGCTGAATAGGAAGCCCCTGAGCCCTTAAGGTCTTCTTGATCTAAGTCATCCACAGGTAAAACATAAAAAAATCTGGAAATGTTTACTAGGTGGGGCATTTTACTGTGTTCAGCTTTAATTGTAATATTTTAAGAAGGATACTGACTAAACAGACAGGAAAAATTTAGCTCATTATAAAAGAAGAACTTTTTAATCATTAGAGTTGTTAAAATTTGAAATGGGATGTCTTATTAAGGTTAAATTTATCATCCGGTAAATATTCACATCTGAAGTTAGATGACCACCTAGAAGGGACATTGGAAAAGGGATTCCTGCATTGGGTTGGAGATTGTGTATATAAAAGGAACAAATCAGCCATAATTATATGCTGACCCAACCACTATATGTGCAAAAAGAAACTTCTATTGCTTACTTTTTTTGTTAAAAGAGACTTTGCACCGACCTTTGAGAAATCTCCGAGCATCCTTAAACAAACCTATCCATAATTGTAGCACATTATACATATTTTGGGGCTTTTCTGATGTATTGATCATAGTATTTTTTTTTAGGCAATTGGGGTTAAGTGACTTGCCCAGGGTTACACAGCTAGTAAGTGTCTGAGGCTAGATTTGAACTCAGGTCCTCCTGACTTCAGGACTGGTGTGCTATCCAATACACCACCTAGCTGCCCCTCCTCTTTTAATTATTTCCTATTAATCCTGTATATAGCTTACTTTGTATATATTTGTTTGCATGTTGTCTCCTCAATTAGACTGGCTATTTAGGTTTAGGTTAGTTTAGATTAGATTGTCCCTTGAGGGAAGGGGCTGTCTCTAGTTCTTTTTTGGTATCCCCAGTGCTTAGCTGAGTGTTTGGCACACAGTAGGCACTTATTAATGCTTGTTGATTGATTGATTGACTATCCAGTTTTCTAGACTCTAAACCACATTTTGCTCAAAATTCCAAAAAGGCACCTATGATCATATTGTGTTTTATGAGCTAACCTCAAATATGAGGGTATACTTATATATTTATATATGTTTGTTTTTATGCAACCATGTTACTCCATATGTGAAAAAAGCACACCTTCTATAAATTCAAGATTTTGCTTATCTTCCAATAGGTTGGTTTGATCTACTGTTTCACCAAGGTCTTTTCCCTGTCTTGACTTCAAGTACAGAACAAACTGAAATACCTAGGTTAGGGGCAATGAAAGAAGGAGAGGCAGTGGAAATAATTAAGGAAATAGTTAAAAAAAAAACAACAACACTTTTCAGCTTCACCCTCCTTGGTAACAGGAAGGTTCATCATAGCCAACCCTGGGATAAGAGGCAGAGATAAGAAAAATTTCTCAGTTCCTTCCACCTGACTCCCCGACTTTGTCTTGATGACGCCTGGGTCAGGTAGAATTCAAGCAACCAAACTTGTTAGTATAGTTGTTTTTGTTGCCATTGCTCTTGATAAATCCAAAATTCAGGATCCCCAGTGGAACTAAAAGCTCTGAGTTCTGTATGCTTTTCCAACTTTGCATGACCAGGAAGCAAGAGAGGTTTGAGACTAACCAGGAATTTGGTCCCTCATGCCAAATGAGAAAGAGTAAAGGGAGGGCAGAACATTATCATTTCTGAGACCAGGGAAGAAGCAGTTGCTAAATGCTTTGGGTTCACTGCCAAGCAAAGCAAGGGACATAAGCTGGAGAAAAGTGAAAGGAATGTTCTCCTGCTTCTGGTCAACAGGACTGCTAACACGGGGCAGTTAGGTGGTGCATTGGATAGAGCACTGGTCCTGGAGTCAGGAGGACCTGAGTTCAAATCTGGTCCAGACACTTGATACATACTAGCTGTGTGACCCTGGGCAAATCATTTAACCCCAATTGCCTAAAAACAAAACAAAAACAGGACTACTAACACCCTGAAGAGAGAGATAAAACACTCAATTGCTGATAGCTGAGAAGAGGGCAACATTTGAAAAATCCGTGCACTGCTCTGGTCTATTTGTTCTTGACTGAGATTATATCCCATTTATCTATTATTGCCTTCCTAGTGAGTGACATCTTACTCCTCTTCTGCCTTGAAGTGGATCTAGAACCCCGATAAGATGTTCTCCAAACAAGGGATGTGTAATCAGCATTACTTCTTGAAAAAAAGGATACTGCATGTTTTTCCATCTTTGTACACAATCATATGTTCTCTCTCATACCCACAATAGTTTGGGGACAAGAAAACTGGGATGGCATAGTTGTACATCAAATAATATACCTTAAAATCTACACCTAACATGATTCTATCATGGCAGGGAAAAAATAAGCCAGCACCCTGAAGAGAGTTAAATTAAATTAAGTTAAATAGAATAAACAAAAGTCCTACAATCTTAAAGTCAAAACTAAAATTTTTACTTGAAATATTCACAAACACACAATTACACATTATGTGATTCAGTTTTACCTCTCTCAATATCATCCATAGGAGACTCTGGAGACATTTTTTCTTTTGGTGGAGAATGTTTCACATTGTTTGATGTTTTAACTGCATTTCTCATTTGTTGTTGCTGCTGTTCAAGTCGAGACTGAATTTTACTGCTTCCTTCAGCTCTGCAAGTATATGAAAGTTCCCAAAAGGTAAACATTAACAATTCCAATGTAATATGACTCTTATGATGTTAATATAACTATGTTCTTCCCCTTAGAGGTTTTGAATATTGCATTCAAATTAGGCATTAAAAGTAATAATTAAAATTATAAAAATAAAAGACAAAGAATGCTCTGTCAAAATTCCTATTAAAATTAAGCTCCTTAGGTATTTGAGTATCTAGAAGTCTAGGGAAGAGAGAGAAATACTAAATTGAGGGAGGGGGAGAGAACCTACCCCTAAAAGAAAAAGCATTTACTAAGCACCTACTATATGCCAAGCACTGTGCTAAGCACTTTGCCAAATATTACCTCATTTGACCCTCACAACAACCCTGTGAGTTAAGTGTTATTATTATCCCCATTTTATAGTTAAGGAATCTGAGTAAGACAGAGGTTAAATTATTTGCCCAGAGTCACACAGCTAGTAAGTGTCTGAAGTCAGATGTGAACTCAGATCTTCCTGTCTAATGAGATAATATTTGTAAAGTGCTTAGCACATTACCTGGCACATAGGTGCTATATAAATGGTTATTTTCTTCCCCTTCTTTTCCCTGCTTCCTGATTACAGATCCAGCATCCTGTCCACAGTATCACCTAGTTGCCAGCATCTTCCTTATAGGAAGATGACCTTGTGAACTTCAGAGCATCAAAGGATTTGGACATTCTAAGCCTAGCAGTATCACTGGTATAATGGAGGTTGATTGCAGTGACTTTCCTGGGAGCCAAGGACAAATTACACACACTAAGGAAAGGCAGCTTCAAGACTAAAAGGAGCCTGGCAGAAAGCTCCATCATGCCTAAGAGGAGTTTCAAATGTGCCTTCCCTCTGATGATTATCTCCAATTTATCCTTTACGTGTCTTGGCTATAAATAGTTGTTTTCACATTGTCTCCTCCCTTAGACCATGAGCTCCTTGAAAGTAGGGTCTTTTGCCTTTCTATGAATTCTCCACACACTACCTGGCACACAGTAGGAGCTTAACAAATGCTGAGTGACTCCATGAAGGGGAGAAAAAGAATTCTAGTAACCAGGAGCTGTTAGTCATCCCTTTGTCACATGTTCCCTATGTGACAGAGGCCACTTTCCTCTGGACTCTGTGAATGAGTGTTGTGAATGGAATGTGGCAGGGCATGACCTCGTGAGCTTAAAAAGATTGCAAGAGTCACTGGAGGTGCAGAAATTGGAGTCCATACCGGAAAACGCTGGCAGCTGAGCCCATGCTCCTGCAAAGGTCCTGAGGAGCTACCTGCTTGACCTAACCCAGCAACAGATCAACCAGGAAGTTTCAGTGCTTTACCCTACTAGGAACAAAGCAAATCTGCCCATCAGCTTTGCTGAATTATCAGATGAACTTGGTGGGGTCAGATGCTTCATAGTAACCATGTATCTGAGCCCACTCTCTTCACTCTGACCAAGGTGGGAAAGGGAAGAATAGCTCTGGTTCAAGACGATGCTATATGTTCTCAGTAAATATACCTTTGTAAAGTCTAATTGATATCAATTGGTTAAATGATATTGGGGCAAAAATCACTAGGGATTGATACTTGGGGGAACACACTGCAACAGGGTTTTGAGCTGAGAGCTTTCTTTCTAACAGAAGAACCTCACAGTGGTACCCATAGGACCTGGAGAACCCTGAGGAAAGAGAGGTAGCCAGCCACACTTTAGGAACCTGACCTGCTAATATTAAGTCCAGAGACTATCCTGGTTACACCTATTTATGATATTTCTCCTGATAGAATGAAAGCTCTTGGATGGCAGAAATTGTTTCATATTTTGTCTTTGCACCTGTAGCATCTTGCACAGTGCCTTACACGTAGTAGGCACGTAATAAATTCTTATTGACTGACTGAAAGAAAATTCAGCTGTTTGTTGATCTTCCATCCAGATCTTTAAGTGAATCCATATCTTTGGTGTATCAACAAAAGTGGTTAACAGAATCTGTTAATAGAAAGATTTTTAAAGACTGATAAAAGAGTTAACCTTGACTCTTTCCTTCCCCCAACTTACTAAATCTAGTCAGTCACTAATTTTTTCCATTGCAGTATTATCCCCCACACATTCATTCTTTTTCATTTCCATTGCTAATACTCTAATATAGCCTTTCATCACCTTGAAGCTAGGTGGTCCAGTAGTGAGAGGCCTGGGCTTCAAGCCAGGAAGACCTAAATTCAAATCCAGCCTCAGACACTTACTAGCTGTGTGACCTTGGGCAAATCATTTAACTTCTGTGTTCCTCAGTTTTCTCATCTGTAAAATGGGAACAATAATAATAGCACCTATATTGTTGTGAGGATCAAATAAATATTTTGTTTGTTTGTTGTTTTTTTTTTGTTTGTTTGGGTTTTTTTGCAAATGAGATAATATTTATAAAGCACTTAGTGACTGGCACTGTCAGAAGAACAGGAACAAAGCTCAACCCAAGTGCTACTTCCTACATGGGGTCTTTCCTATTATGCCCCCACATTCTCTCCCATCCATTTTTATTTACTTCTGTATATACATGTTGTTTTCTGAATTGAATATAGCAAGTACTATATAACTGTTAACTATAAATTGTTATCATAACTTGATAACTGCCATAATTTCTTATCCAGTTTCCCTCCCACAATCTAACTTACAAGCTATCAACTGATTAATCATTTCTAGCATATTGCTTTTGAACGTATTACTCTATTCAAAAAGATTTACTAGCTCTTACTGAAGATGCTAAGCTAATAATTTTAGAGCTGGAAGGGAACTAAGATGCCAACTAGTCCAACCTCCTCATTTTGTAGATAAGGAAATAGGGCCAGGGAGGTTAAGCAGCTGGCCCAAAGCTATACAGATAGTAAGTGGCAGAGCTGGGATTCAAACCTAGGGTCTCAAACACTTTGACACATACTAGCTGTGTAACCTTGGGCAAGTCACTTAACCCCGACTGTCTCACCAAAAAAAAACAAAAACAAAAACAAAAACAAACCTAGGGTCTCTGATGTCAAATCCAGAAATCTTTCATGCTCCTTCATCATGCTCCTCACTACCTACAGGATCAAATCCAAACTCCTTAGAGCAGCATTCAAGGGACTCCACAAAATGTTCTCTTGCTGAATGGAAGAAATATCCCAAAGAGAAAACACAGAAGAAAGACTGGAGAAATCACTCCCTTCACCCCTCATATCCCATCAGTTACACCACCCTTCCTCTCCACTCACATATCCACCAGCCTAGTTCATGTCCTCATTATCTCTTCCCTGGACCATTTCAATAGCCTCCAAATTGCTCTCCTTGCCTCAAATCACTTCCCTCTCTAGTCTTTTCCACACAGTTAACAAATGGATATTTATAAAGCATGGATCTGATCCATCTACTTCCCTGTTCAATAAGTTCCAAAGGATTCTAATTGCCTCAAGGACAAAATATAAACTCCTTTACAGTCTGGTTGTAGCCTACCTTTCCAGACTTATTATTCATTATTCCTCTTCATATACGTGCCCATGCTGGACAACATGCTGTCTCTCATACGACCTTCCATCTCTCATTTCTATGTTTTTGGTACAGCCTATTCCCCATGCCTGGAATGCACTCCCTCCTTGATTTTTTGCCTCTTTGAATTCTGGTTTTCTTCAAAGCTCAGCTCAGATGCTACTTCCTACATGCAATTTTTACTATTACACCCCCAGTTGCTTGTGACTCTCCCCTCTAAAAAAAGTAACTTTTTATTTATCTGGAATTTTTACTCACTTCTGTATGTACATGTTGTTTCTGAAATTGAATGTAAGTTACTTGAGAACAGACAGTTTTTGTTTTCATGTTTCTAAAGCACAGTGCCTGGCACACAGTAGGCATTTAATAAATGCTTGTTGATTGAACCACATTTAATAAATGCTTATTGAATAAATGATTGAATCTAAACTAGTCAAGAGGTTCATTGCATCACAGAATTTGGAGTTCTAATGTATCTTAGAGAGGATATAGTACAACACCTGAAACATACAGATCAAGGAAACTAAAGGTTAAAAGAACTGCCAAAGGTTGCAAGGTAACTGATTTTCCGATTTGGAATCCAAATGCTGTTCCTCTGACTCAGAATTATCTATTCTTTACTATGAAGAGTGCGACACTAATGAGGAAGAGAAAAAAAACAGGCATGAGATTTCCAGGAGAAAGGGGATCTAGATCTCTTAAAATGGAAGTAGTTTCCTATTTTCATAAGAGTCTAAAAAGATGTCAGCAGTAAATATATCAATTTTGGGATAGAGATAGAAGATGCAGTGTGGTGTCTGACAACTCCCTAATAAAACGTACGAAAGTGGCTGTATGTCAACCTGACACGACCAATTAAGCACTATAGTGTCTTCCTTGGAAAAGGACAAACTCAATGACAACTACTACACTACCACAACTACTATTACAGTTCATGGAGAAATGATTGATTCTACATGAAGGAATCTGGAAAGCATCTCTAAATGTTATGAAATGCTGAGGAAGAAACAGAAGAAACTGAGGCATAAGTAGTGTTTTCATTATTACTAGTGTTTGAATATAAGGACTTTACTAGAGGAAGACAAATATGGGAAGAGTTGGCTAAGAAGATTATGTCAGCATGGGACTTGGCTTTTTGGACAATGAATTAATATAATAGATTCTAGGATGAGGATGGAATCCATCCAATGAGGATAGAAAAGAATGTCCAAGTGTCCAACAAGATGCTGATCTAATGAAGAGGGCTTTAAACTGGAAATAGAAAAAAAAATAAAACAAAAACAAATAAACAAAAAACTATTGCCCAGATATAAACTATTAAGCTAGATACCATAAAGAAGGAGTTCTTAACTTTTTTTGTGTGTCATAAACCCCTTTGCCAGTCTAGTGAAGCCCTTCTCAGAATGTTTTAAAATTTATAAAATTTTATAAAATTGGGGAGAAAAGAAAACTAACAGAAGCCCAGTGACTCATAGGAGTCAACTAGGGTGAGGGGC